AAAAAAAATGGCATTTATAAGGCACTATTCACCATTGCTTGATTGATGATGCCCTTCATGGCTGAGTCAGTCTAAAGCACATCAGATCTAATGATGGTCACTCCTGCAAAGGGGGATGCAGGTTTTTAATCCTGCCGGAGAGTGCATCTTTTTCTCTAATATGACTTTTCAAATATTCAGGCTGGTACATGAAAATAAATGAAGATGCTGTTTAAAAAATTAACAGAGTGTCTACTTAAATATGGGTATCCACTGAAAATAACATTTAAAATGATGAAAAAATTGTCTTATATCTAATGACAAAAATATGCTTGTCTATGCAGGCACTGTCATCCATGTAGATATGCACAGCTGTTACACATTTTACAAATAGGACTGGCTGTAGTCGGTCATCTTTTTATAAAGATTTATTGATTAGTTCTTTAGTGGATAGTAGGTACTAGTAGTAGTACTTTTATTCTTGTTCTTATATTCTTGAGAGAATACTAACAATATAAACTAGTACAATGGAACTTACACACCCTGTCGACTGGGGCTGTAGAATATATCAACTGCACCTCTGCAGAGTGGGAGGACCCCCCCCCCCCGGGGCCAATGAGTAGTCCTGGGTATGGCAATAAACTACATCTGGCAGTAAGGCCTCTGATCAGGAGATTGGAGGTTTTGAGGAGTGCGGAACCACCTTTTAACTGCTGTTGTTCCTAGGTCCACATTGACCCTAGGGTAGTAGCACCTGTTAGGGTCCCAGCTATAGGCAAATAGTGAACCACCAAACAAAAATCAAAACACTAGGAATGCATAAAAATATTTTTTATAATAAAAATACTAGCAATAGATATTTACAGCAAAATGATCAGCAATACATTTTTATAGTAGAATTACCAACAATTGATTTTTATAGCAAAATGACCACTAATACATTTTATAGTAGAATTACGAACAATACAAAATGACCAACAATACATTCTTAGAGCAAAATGACCAACAATACATTTTATAGTAGAATTACGAACAATACAAAATGACCAACAATACATTCTTAGAGTAAAATGACCAACAATACATTTTATAGTAAAATTGAAGACATGATATACATTGTCAAAAAAACAAAAACAATTTGCTATGATTAATCACATTTCTTGTAAGGAGAAACAAGTTTTCACTCCTCGTTTGATTTTTGTAACGATTATTTAATTAAAACAAAAGACAGCTAAGTAATTATAAAATTATGAACCAATGTCATTGTCTTGGATTAATTATAAAGTTTGAATTTTGATATTTAGATTTTAGCATTAAGTAACCGATACGGCTTGATATACTGCAAAACAAAAACAACCAAATCAAACCATGCGCGCAGATGCACAATCAAAAAGAAGATGTTTTATTTGCCATATTTAATCATGTACAAGGTGAGAAATTTTGAATCAGAATCAAAAACCAAATTGGATGTGTGGTTGCATTAACTCTTTCAGGATGTGCTGTTTTTAAGTTTGTTTTCAAGCAGCTAAATTCCAAATTCCACACCTGTATGTCATAGCTGACATCATATATTCATTGTACACTTAATTTTACACTTATAATTCGGAGCCAGTTGAAATTTCTGAAATACATAATGAGGAAAACGGGCTTAGAGAATTTGATACTTATATGGCATATTGAAAGCATATTTATTTATATACAGTTGTATGAGAAATTTTGAATCAGAATCAAAATGCCAAACTGGAAGTGTGATTACATTACCTCTTTCATGTTCTTTCAGGATTTGAGTGATCATGGCTCTCCACAACTGCCCATATCTTGTTGCTCTAAGTAATTCTGGTTTCTTTATCACCCCTCTTTGTCTCAATGGTACTTGTTCCACTCTACCTGGTCCTCTTGATTTAACTCTTTTGCATTCAACTCACTTAAATCTTCCCCATAAATATTGGCTCTCAATGTTCAACCCACTGTAACCCATCCCATCCATACTCTGCCATGATATATGATGACATTATCACAAATAATGCAGAAAGTCATGCAAACAATGAGACTTTGACCACAAATGGTGAAATTTTGTGGGCCAATATTTACGGGATCATTTTGTGCATGTTGATTGCTAAAGGATTAAATGTAATCTGTGAGTATTAAATTCTCCTCTTAAATTTTCCTCATTATGTATCAAAAAACTTTGGCTACTCCTTTTTGGCAGCATCAGTTTCTTTGTAATTCTGTCTTTAATGTGCCATGTCTCCTCAGGATGTGAGTGTTGTAATCCCAATTTTAGATCTTTATTTTTCTTTTCGCTGCCCAATGTACCCAAAACATTTATCTCTAGAACCTATCAGTCAATTAGAGATAGTCAATCATTATTGATTGTTTTGAATCAATTGAATTGATTTTTAACAGCTTATCAACCCATTGTGGGTTATTTAAAGCTGAAATATATTTTGAATTGTAAGAATTTCATGGTTTTCCTCTTTTAATTTTTTGATGAATCTTAAATTCTTAAGTTAATAATTGAGTAAGCTCATGGCAATTTCTATAACAATAAAATATCCATAAAAATTCCCCTATTGCATCATTAAATATTTGAGCTTAACAACTTTAACAAAATATTGCAATAACAATCATAAATATGAACACTGGTCATTATTTTAAGAAGTAAGGAGGTACAAAGGAAAAGATTTAAAATTGACAACTTTTTGCATTTAACTGAAAAAGCCGTTAAACACTTCTATCTTCCCTTTATTTCTTTCATCTTGTCACTGAAACCAAGACATATCTTTTCCCCTTTTTCCACATGATCAAAATATTATTTATGAGGTATTGGCAGGATATAATAGTTGTATCAACTAATGAAGGGATGAAAAGCACAATTATAATAGGATAATTCTTTTATTTTGTGATTGAATATTCTATTAACAATGTAGGCATACAGAAAGAAACTATCTCCTTTTGGTGGAGATAAGTCACATAGATCACAGGATGGCTGCTTAATAATGCCAGTCCATACAGTGACGAAAGTAGCAGTCAATTTCAGTTGGTTTACAGTAGCCAAATTGAGAGGTTGCTTTTTTTTAGCTCAGGCCAGAAGGCCTGGGCTGAGGCTAAATCTGCCTTCCCCAGCAGCTTACAACCCATGGCATTGTTTCCCTTTGTGAATATATCTACCCCAAACATAGAAAGAAACTCCTGCTTTCAGCCCCCAATTTTTAAAAACCCAAGACTTATAGTTTCCTCTTTGTGGAATATGTCCTCACCTGGGACATAGCAGATGAACCTGGCTTGCATGAATCTGGAATCCTAAACATGGCTTCTCCAGAAACAGAAAAGAATCTCCATATGATACATAAGACCTTATCTTTTTGTTCACCTTACATTCTGCTTACTGTATAGATATATGATATATTGTTATCTGCATGGGACAGTTTTGTGTATGTCTTAGTGGTATAAAAGTCTCTCTGAGAACAAAACATGTTTGTCATTACTTTTCCTTTCATCCATTCCATTCTGTCCATGTTTTTACATCATGAATATAATAATGCCAATAATGGGGGAAATATAAATGGGAGAATAAACATTTTTACCATACCTCTCTTGGTATAACAATATTTGGGATATAATGATTTTTCCAGATACAAGTAGTACTATTTAACCTATAACTGGGGAGAGACGAAATGGATTCATACCTTTCCCAAGATTATTTGCATATAAGTGAATGTAATGAATTTGACTGGAATTCAAACTTGGCTATCCAATTTCTCATTCTGAACCTCTATCCATTACACTATCCACATATCCTTGTCATTACTGACAATGATATCTCCAATTTCAGTCCAAATTTCTGAGATGAAGTATTATCATAATTTACATCATTTACACTCTGACTACTGTACACATTTTTGTTGTTGTTATTACAACATTTTGGCTGCTGTGCCCTCTGGTTTTCATCAGGTGCTTGTCAATCCCAGTAACTTTCAAGGATTCATTTTGAAATTCCCTGCAGTTTATCCAGATTGACAAGCACCTGATTAAGGTTGGAGGGTACACCATACAAAAGGTTATGATAATAGTAGCAATGATGAAGACAATAGTCTGAGTGTAAATGATGTAAATAATGATGCCTCCACTTCATCATTGGCATGAATTTTGTTATTGGAACATTTGAGTTTGTCATAGTCATTATCATTAATGACTATTCATTTGACTTCTCACTCCAAACTTAAAATCACAAGGTTTTCCACAAGTTGGTCATGGAATGCCATCTCCTGGAGTTGGAGATCCTTTGTCTGGATATTCAATACAGATTTCTGGTTGCAATGTGAGCTGACTTGAAAGTTTCAGTAGTTGGATACTGCATTGCTTGAGGATGGATTTCAACTGATCTTTATACCTTTTCTTCTGACCACTGACTATCTTTGACTTCTCCATGTAAGATCTGTCAGTTCTCTGGTATCTTACTTAAATGCCTGATCCATCCAAGTTGATGCCTGATGATCATGCATTCAATGATCATGATATTTGAATTCTATAGTATGATTATATGCAGGATTCAGTCATGAGATAGAACCATGTCTCTGATGTTTCTAGTCTCTTCTTCATCTGTGATGAAATTGTCCAGCATTCACTGCCACATGTGAGATTAGACATTACATAGCAGTTCAGTATTTTTTTCTTTGAATCAAATATTTTCCTTATCTCTTAATATATTGCTCAGTTTCTAAAAGATGACTTTCACTATTTCTATACTGATTGAACCATCTGCTTTTTATGGCTTATCAACCCTTTGCAGGTTATTTAAAGCCAGAAAATATTTGGAGTTTGTGAGAATTTTTTGGAGATGATAATGATTTACTGATACAAGTCCTACTAATTAACCCATAAAGGGGGGAAGAAGGGGGGGGAATTGATACCAATCTCAAGGATATTTGCATGTAAGCGAATATAAAGAATTTGACTGAAATTGAAGATCAGAATTCCAATTCCAAGCCATTATCCATTACACCACCTGTACATCCAAGCTTACAGCACCTGGTATTTCCAAGAGGTCACCTATCTAGGTACTGACCAGACTTGATGTTGCTTAACTTTGGTGATCATATGAGAACTGGTGTTTAAATGTGATATGACTGTAAGTTCACTAGTTCTATAAACCTTCCAATTTCTGTGTCACATTTAGTGTCATCTGTTACTATGCTACTTGGGTAATATAATTTTCACATTTGCTTGATTTTTATGTCTCCAATATGTAACCTGCACCTTATGTTGTCCTTGTCTAATGTCTTACAATTAATTTCTTTGTGATTTCATTGGTTACTTTGTCTTATACCTCACTCAGTTTTCTTCGTAAATCTGTCACCAAGATAGCGTTCTCTCTGCATAACATGTGTTGTTAAGATTATGTACACTGATAATAAATCCTTATAGGTCTTCTAGGCCTTTGAAAATCATTCAGGTTAAATAAATCTTGTGAGAAAACATGTCCTGGTCATAAACCTATTTTTTTTTTTATGTATTCACTTCTTTTTTTTAATCATTTCATACCAAACAAGATAATAAAGCCATTAAGACAATTGATTGAGTTAATTCATTTTCTATGATTTATCAATGTTTTTCAGGTCATTTAAAACCAGAAAATGTTTTTAGATTGTAAAAGCTTTTTTTTTGGACAATAATATACATCCTACTAATTAACCCATAAATGGGAGAGAAGAAGTGGATTCATGCTTTTTCCGAAGGTATTTGTACATATGGGAATATAGCAAACACAATGAATATTGGAACTTGGCTCTCTGATTAACAATTCCAAGTCATTATTGATTACACAATCCACACTTCCAAGCTTACAGCACCTGATATTCCCAAGTGGTCACCCATCTAGGTACTGACCAGGATCGACATTGCTTGACTGAGGTGGTCATAGGTGAACAAGTGTTTCAAAGTGATATGGCTGTAACAAACGAAGACACAAGAGGTTACTGAGTGTGAGAAAATATGAGAAAAAATATTAAGGAGAGAGAATAATAAAAGAACAGGAATTAAGAAGACAGAAGATAACGGTTGATTTTGCATTTAAATGTTTGAAAATCCAAGTTGACAGGGAAGCCAGAGGAAAGTGAAAATTGAAGAAACTGTTAGCATAGAACATTCAGCCATTTCAACTATGAGACCTTGCTGCCAATCTAGTACTGTGCTTAAATTCATAAAGTCTACATACTAAAGAGGAAAGTTCATTAGAACAATTACCATGAGAATATTTATAGAAAATGCACACAGAAGTTATGTTACAGTTTAACTCATTCTCCATCTCCATGGAAGTTGTTGTTTTCAATACAGATGACAGATCATTTGAATATCCTTTCCAGGTAGATCAAGTTTTACAAGGGGATCTTTAAATCATATTTTATCAAATGTCTTCATATAATCTATGAAACATAGGTATAGATCTTTCTACAATTCTGATCACTCTGATAGAACTCAAATTGGTTATTTTGCTTAAGCATCTTGAACAAAGTCACAATGTTCTTGTCCTATTTCCAAGCAAATTTTATTACAAACTCTATTCATTAGGATCCTAATTATTTGTTTTTTTAAACGAATATAACTATTATAACTATATATATATATATATATATATATATATATATATAATTAAAATGTTAATGGTCAGAGTTGAGTTAGACCAAGAAACAGTAGTATTAAAAAGTGCTCAGTATACATATAAAAAGATAAAAATTCAACATGTAGATTTTTAAGTATAGAAAATTAGGAAATCAGCTGATTCCACTACCTTGGTTTTAACCTTTCAATATCTTCAAGTGATTTCAGTCAATTGATTTCCTAACACTTTATTTATTTTAAAAATATATATAGGGTGTACTGAGGGAGGGTAACTTTAAAAAGAGGCAGTACAATCATAAGTCATCTTCTAAGCTAGAAAGCCTTAGAAATTCTACTAAACTAGTTGATCATGTTTGGAAATTAAAAGGAAAAAATAAAAAAAGATCTGATTGTAAACTGGAAAATTTAAAAAAAAAAAAGCAAAACCTTACAACAATCATAGCAACATCTGCAACCTTTGTCAGCAAGAAAAAATAGCTATAATAACATTTCCAGACCAAAAAACCTTTTGAATCAGAGATTGGAAATTATGTCCCATTGTATACATATTAAAAACTTCCTTTTGAGTTCATATGAAGTGGGATGAAAATGTATATTACATTTAACCCCCCCCACACCAAAACATTTCCAATACACTTGATTTTCCCCTCCTCCTCACCTTCTACTACATCTCACATTGTGTGCTCATTCATTTATTTAAAAAAATATAGTGTTCATAATTTTTTTATTTTTAAAAACTAAAGCATTAGGAAATCAACTGACCAAAATTGCTTGAAGATACTGAAAGGTTGAAACCAAGGTAGCGGAATCGACTGATTTCCTAATTTTCTATTATATATATATATATATATATATATATATATATATAAAATAATTTTTAAATTCCATAGTCCTAATAAATAGATTACATGCCCTACAAAAAAAGATAACCCTTTATGAAGTTGTCAAAAAACAAATGTTAGTGATTTACGACAGTTTTTATATACACAAAACCCTTTCAGAAAAAAAATAAAAAATAAAATAAAAAAATAAATAAATCTCCATAGACACTTAACCAGACTGGACGATGTCATCTTCCGCTTTAAATTTAGACACCCCAACCTTACCCTGACTTGACATCTGTGAATGTAACCGTGATATTGATACAAATTATTAACACCTTACGCCCCTTTTTCTTTAAACAATTGCTCTAGCCATTATCATAGAAATTTTGATTTCAATAATGAATATACTTATAAAACGCGTAAATTTCAGAAATAAGTTATTCCCCCAAAACATTTCGCTTGAAGATGGAACAGAGCTTAGTACCTTAATTCAATTTAATTCAAATAATTATATTGAAGTTTTTGGCTCTTGTTTTGAAACATGAGAACTCTTATGTAGCATGTTGGAATCATATTTTTAAATAAATAATTATATATATATATATATATATATATATATATGTAGCAAACTGACTTTTTATCACTCATATTTATTCTAATCTGAAAAGACTCAGTAGCAAGTTTACTCCTCAGTGATGAGCAGAGGGTAACTCTTTAAGCTGAGAAGCAGTTGGATGATAAGGGATCCATTAATCAAGTTTAAATACTTTTACAAGTTCATGTAAGTGTTTTATGACTGAAGTATGACTTGTATTGAACTCTTTTGCTGATTTTCATGCAGGAAAAAAAATGAAGGTGTTTTATGATTGAAGTAAATAAATGAAGATATTTTAAGATTGAAATATTGCTGATTTTCATGCAGTTTGCTTTGGATTTTCCTCACGTACATTTTTCAGAAGCTCAGTATTAACAGAACTTTGGTTGTCCATATCGAAGCAAATCTTTGAGTGATAAATTTTTTGATTTTAAATGGCCAAACCATCATTGGCATGTCTTGAGGCTTAGAGCTTAATTTCCATAGACTGAATGAATATTTTTTACTGCTTCCATTGCTAAAGAGCCCTTTTTAAATTCATGCAGCATATAGTGTTTAATATAAATCTAATCAAAACTCATTTTAAAAGGATAAATTTACTTTCTAATGATTTTTAAAAACTTTTATATGTAAACAAGGTTATATTTTTGAGTATTGATAAAATTGTTTAACATAAATGTGATGTATTTTCACTACACTGCCTAACTAATCTGATGTCATGAAAATATGCAATTTTAAGGATGTTAAAAAATTGAGCAATTTTTAAAAGAGTAATACTGAGATTCTGATCATAGGAATAAATAAGTTACTGCATACAAATAATCTATTATGTCATAAATGACCGGAAAACTACTTTGGACATCTGGCATACTTTGTAAATGAGAAGCTCTGAAAGTGGACAGCATCTTTTTGCATTTCAGTTATTATCAGGTTCTTATAAAAATAAAAGACATTTAAGCTTTTTATATTTTTTTTAATCCAAAGTAAACATTAACTATTGTTACCAATTTTCAAATGTGTACATGCAATATCCTTGGAGCAATAAATATCAGAATTTTGTTGAAAGCCTTATTTAGCAACACAAAAAGTTCAGTGAAATTTCAAGATGCTCTGATTTTAAAAAGATACAGATATAATACTTTCTCAATAATTTTGATCAAAGAAGACTTGTGAATTTTCCCAGATATTTCTGAGAGGGTCACCTGTGGCTGTTAGTTGATTTGAGGTGGAATAACCCAACAGGACTTTCTTTCCAACCTAATAAACTTTGGGATGTGTTGGTCATATAATGGATGAGAATTGGTGAGCCGAGTTTGAGTTCCAATTGAGTTTGTTACATTCACTTACACACAAATGTTCTCGGAAAAGGTATGAATCTATCTCTTATGCCCCCAGCTATGGGTTAAATAGCAGGGTAGAATATACTCTCCTGCTGTAGTTGGCAAACAGTTTCAAAGGAGGGCAACTCTAAATTCAAAACCATACATGGCTTTGAGACCAAATCATGTGTTGGCCTTTGGCAAGGTATAGCACCCAGAAGCCACTTCTATCAGAGTTACAGTTTAGACATCGGCAGCAAAATGTGGTCAATGGCATAACCTAACAGACCATATTTGCGGCACTGAACAATGGTGTCATGCAAAAGATCCTTCATACTGGACAATAGATGGATTCTAATTATTCCAAGTTGGGAATGTCCCAACAGATTACCTAGTTAGTAAGTTTCTCCAGGTTTTATATGGCTCATCAAGTTGATTGTCTGATGAATTTGATATTCATTTCTACCTAGTTTCTTTGGTAACACAATGAAGACTGATCTAATAATGTCCTTCAGCATTTCACCACTGTCATATATTTTGTTTATCACTTTTGTAAACTTATCACTCCCCAAACTCATCTAATGTTCCCAACATTTCTATTATGATTTTGTTTGGCCCTGCTGCTTTGTTTCTTATTCAGTTTGGCCAGTGTTCATCTCACATTTTATTATTACGAGTGTTTCTTTTAATGTATTGTAGTTTCTTTTCACAGTTTTCATGGAAGAACTCTCCTATATATTCAGCCTATCACTGTGGTACATTTTCTTTTTACATTATAGTTGTTCCCTTTTTAGATCTTATACATCCTGCCAAAGAGCACATTTTCTCTCCTGTTATTTCTTGTGTCTTTTTGTGCTATATCTGTGTCCTACAGTTTTTTTTGTTTTATCTTTGCACATTTCTGACAAAACCATTTCAATTCTACATCCTGGCACTTATATCTGATTTTTTGTTTGACATATGGTTTGCACAATTTCTTGGCGCCATCTGCAATTTCTCTTTTATTAGGTCAAGAACTTCATCTGTTATTTACATTACTTTTGTTTCTTGCTTTTCTTTCTACAGAATGCCAACTTCTGCTATTGTTACTAATGCTTCTGTTAAGGTATACCACTGACTCTTTGACCTATTCCAAAGTTTCATATTTGTTCTAAACTGTGACCACATATGATTATTTTCAAATAGAATCACTGAGAAGTTGTCATTTTACAGTTTAGGCAATGCAGTCTCTTTAATTTTTATAGTTTATCTTTAGTTTTCATATGATTGGAAGGTCATTATGTCGGGTCACTTTATGAGAGCTATTGGTACCATATAACTCAGTATTATATGACAAATAGTCATGTTATTGGTGAGTGAACAAGTTCCCCCACTCGGTTTCTGTTGAGGAGGGTGGCTAGACACACAGTAGAATTTAAATCAAAACCTGTCAAAGAGCAGATGAACTTTCTTGTAGGTTCAATGGCCATCTAGCACAATATGATAACATGGGCTCCAGAACTAGTACGGTGATGACACAGCATTGCTGGATGGAGGACTTCATAGACTGACTTTAATGGCCAGGGTAGAGGTTTTTCCTGATGGAATCATGGCCACATATCTGTAACCAAGGTGAGCCTTCAAGTCGGAGGACATCAGCTGTGGTTTGACCTGGAGAAGAATGGGCTCATCCAGGTTTGTTTTTCCTATGACACACTATGATAGAATGAATACCTCTCCAGCTTTCAACCCATATATATATGAAGAGAACTCTGCAACCACAACTGGTCATGAGATTGAGATAAGATGAGGTGTTGTAACTAGTTACACTATTTACATTGATTGGACTATTGTCCTCATCTTTACTGTTGTGTTCACAATATTTCGGCTGTTGTATGTTCTGGCCTTCTTCAGGTATGCTCCAGCCTTCTTCTTGATATTTGTTACTGTGGCATTAGGTACATAAGTCCTGACAATTCACTTACTTATGGCTCAGTGGATAAAAGTGTTGGTTGATTGATCTAAAAAGTGACTTGACCCAAAGAGTTGTGAGTTAAATACCTGGCCTCATCAGAGAGAACAAAAACTTGATGAGTTAACAAGGTGAATTAACTAAAACTGAGATATATAGAATTAGATAAATGGTGGACTGAATAAAGGGTTTGGCTTGAAATTCCAACAAATATCACCTGAATGCCATGAATGTGACAATACAGATGAGGACAACAGTCCGAACAATGTAAATAGTTGCAAAACTGTATTTCTAAATCATCAGTTGATGGTTAAGTAGTCAATTTGTATTTTGTCAATTTTATGCCTCCTAGACTTTTCCAAATATCTTGGGTCTTTGTTGTGGAGTGGAGGCTTGTATTTCAATAAGTCATCCTAAATTAGGTTCGATGTACAAAACGTTAGGAACTTGGAAAATAAGAGTTAATGATGCAGCAATCTAGTTGTGATGGTTGGTACTTCAATGTCCGATATCGTCTGACTGCTCAACACCACTGACCCCCACAGGCCACTGCTACTACTCCTTATTATCTGTGGGAGAGTCCATTATAATAGAATAGGTATATGGTATGACAGTCTTCTTCAAGCTAAGTGTTGAATGAACCTAGTCCATACTTATTAACTCTAACACTATCTTGTTTCCTTCCTAGTATTTATTTTCCCATGATAATATGGAAATTAAAAGGTTGTGTGTTGGTATATATGTTAGGTTTGTGCATATCTCTATCTATAAAAGGCAGGATGTGTGTGTGTGTGTGCAACGAATGCACGGCCACAATTTTCAACGGATTTGCACCAAAATTTACATGCACATACTCCAAGTTAGTGGAAAGGCCAAGACTGACTTTGCATTTCCCAACTCCCATCAATAGTGGAAATAATCAATTTTTTCATGCTTCTACGGCAGTTTTCATGTAGTTTGCAGCCATTTTTTACTGGCCAGAATGAGAGCCTATAGCTGGCGGCCACAAATAGGCAGGAAGATTCTATTGGCCAGTGTGAGAGCCAACAGCTGATTGACACGAATGTTAACTAGCATGCAAAAAAAATCGATAGCTGTATTCGCCACAAGTGGGAAAAATTTAAATCTGCATGGCACTTTATTCCAATTGGCTCATACGCTTGCTTAAACTCAACGTTGATTCCGATTCCGCAGAACTGGGCTGGATGTGAAAAAGTATTTGTTGTTAACATTCTTTTTTCATTCGTTTTTTTTCAGTTACGAGTCCTTTTTTAAAGCTGATTGTTTTGTGTTCATTTTGTTTAGTTCTTTTTTCGTAACAGATTTAATGTTTAGTATAGAGCTTAGAAAAAATTTGCAATGTGAGATAGGCAAGAAGTACGGCATGTAGCAACATCAGCACGGCAAAGGGCACTCCTTTAAAAGCAAGGAAGGGCAAAAATATTTTAAGTCAAGTGATAGCGATTGCTGTATGAGTCGTATGATTTTTGAATCAAGCATGGGCAATGCCGGGCCATGCTGCTAGTGATAAATAAAGAAGAAGCATAAAAAAAACTTGGGTTTTTTTCTACCAAAGACCATTTATTCTTTTTATGGTGATTGTAGTGAAACAAAGTTCTCAATGACGCTTGCGTATGTTCATTTTCTTTTTTTTAGTTCAGAAGTAATTTAAGGTAATTGAGAATAACAATAGTTAAAATGATCAAACTCAAGTCAACTTTATGTTTGGAAGATTTAAAAATGGTTATGGGATGTCTGTTTTCTTTTTCTTGGTCCAGAAGTTAGGGTAAGTAAGTATGAGCATCATTAAAATGATCATGCTCAAACCAGCCTTGTGCTAAGTTGAAATAAGCAAAGAGAAAACTTGATTTACTCCATAGGTGGTGGTTTCTGGAAGGCAAGTGCAAACACCATGCATTGGAAAGTGGAAAGAGAGTTCATTTGTCAGTGAACTGGGGAAACTATTATTCCCCAGTGGTAATATAATTACCACATCATGCTACATCTTAGAGCAAGTGGGAAAAAAAGAAAATGATGCAGAAAAATGTTTGTTTATAGACTTAACCAACATAGCCTAATGGTGTTTGATGACACCAAGTGGGGTCATTATATTTCTGGTTCTTTTACGCTTAGTATCATAGGAAAATATATTTCTTTTTCTTTTTTTTATTATTCATTATTATTATTTTATTTATCGATGTTATTTCATTTTCTCACAATAAATTTTGTTACTTACACTGGGAGTATTTTTGAGTGTGTTGAAAAGCTTATCTATTTCTTGAGTAGATCAGGTTATAAACTAAATTTATATTGATAAAGGAATTTCTGTAAAAATGTGCACTTGAATATTTTTTTTTGGTTATACACATCATTTTTTCTTCTATTTCTTTCTTTTTCACCTGTATATAGTCTTTTCTTTTCTTTCTTTCAAATATATGAAACCTCTTCTTTTTCCAAATAAGTGCTTTCTTTTTTTTTCAACTATAGTCTTTCTTTTCTTTCTTTCAAATATATGAAACCTCTTCTCTTTCTTCCAAATATCTGCAATGCTTTCTTTCTTTTTCACCTATATATAGTCTTTTTTCTTTCTTTCTTTCAAAATATATGAAACCTCTTCTCTTTCTTCCAAATATCTGCAGTGCTTTCTTTCTTTTTCACCTGTATATAGTCTTTTCTTTCTCTTTCTTTCAAATATATGAAACCTCTTCTCTTTCTTCCAAATATCTGCAGTGCTTTCTTTCTTTTTCACCTATATATAGTCTTTTCTTTCTCTTTCTTTCAAAATATGAAACCTCTTCTCTTTCTTCCAACTATCTGCAGTGCTTTCTTTCTTTTCACCTATATATAGTCTTTTCTTTCTCTTTCTTTCAAATATATGAAACCTCTTCTCTTTCTTCCAAATATCTGCAGTGCTTTCTTTTCTTTTTTCACCTATATAATCTTTTCTTTCTCTTTCTTTCAAATATATGAAACCTCTTCTTTTTTCCAAATATCTGCAGTGCTTTCTTTCTTTTTTTCACCTATATATAGTCTTTTTCTTTTCTTTCTTTCAAATATATGAAACCTCTTCTCTTTCTTCCAAATATCTGCAGTGCTTTCTTTTTTTTTTTCACCTATATAGTCTTTTTCTTTCTCTTTCTTTCAAATATATGAAACCTCTTCTCTTTCTTCCAAATATCTGCAATGCTTTCTTTCTTTTCACCTATATAGTCTTTTTTTCTTTCTTTCAAATATATGAAACCTCTTCTCTTTCTTCCAAAATATCTGCAATGCTTTCTTTCTTTTTCACCTATATATAGTCTTTTCTTTCTCTTTCTTTCAAATATATGAAACCTCTTCTCTTTCTTCCAAATATCTGCAGTGCTTTCTTTCTTTTTCACCTGTATATAGTCTTTTCTTTCTCTTTCTTTCAAATATATGAAACCTCTTCTCTTTCTTCCAAATATCTGCAATGCTTTCTTTCTTTTTCACCTATATATAGTCTTTTCTTTCTCTTTCTTTCAAATATATGAAACCTCTTCTCTTTCTTCCAAATATCTGCAGTGCTTTCTTTCTTTTTCACCTATATATAGTCTTTTCTTTCTCTTTCTTTCAAATATATGAAACCTCTTCTCTTTCTTCCAAATATCTGCAGTGCTTTCTTTCTTTTTCACCTATATATAATCTTTTCTTTCTCTTTCTTTCAAATATGAAACCTCTTTTTTTTTTCCAAATATCTGCAGTGCTTTCTTTCTTTTTTCACCTATATATAGTCTTTTTCTTTTCTCTTTCTTTCAAATATATGAAACCTCTTTCTTTCTTCCAAATATCTGCAGTGCTTTCTTTCTTTTTCACCTATATATAGTCTTTTCTTTCTCTTTCTTTCAAATATATGAAACCTCTTCTCTTTCTTCCAAATATCTGCAATGCTTTCTTTCTTTTTTTTCACCTATATATAGTCTTTTCTTTTCTCTTTCTTTCAAATATATGAAACCTCTTCTCTTTCTTCCAAATATCTGCAATGCTTTCTTTCTTTTTCACCTATATATAGTCTTTTCTTTTCTTTCTTTCAAATATATGAAACCTCTTCTCTTTCTTCCAAATATCTGCAGTGCTTTCTTTCTTTTTTCACCTATATATAGTCTTTTCTTTTCTTTCTTTCAAATATATGAAACCTCTTCTCTTTCTTCCAAATATCTGCAATGCTTTTTTTTTTTTTCACCTATATATAGTCTTTTTTTTTCTTTCTTTCAAATATATGAAACCTCTTCTCTTTCTTCCAAATATCTGCAGTGCTTTTTTTTTTTTTACCTATATATAATCTTTTTCTTTCTCTTTCTTTCAAATATATGAAACCTCTTTCTTTCTTCCAAATATCTGCAGTGCTTTCTTTTCTTTTCACCTATATATAGTCTTTTCTTTCTCTTTCTTTCAAATATATAAAACCTCCTCTTTCTTCCAAATATCTGCAGTGCTTTCTTTCTTTTTCACCTATATATAGTCTTTTCTTTCTCTTTCTTTCAAATATATGAAACCTCTTCTCTTTCTTCCAAATATCTGCAGTGCTTTCTTTCTTTTTCACCTGTATATAGTCTTTTCTTTCTTTCTTTCAAATATATGAAACCTCTTCTCTTTCTTCCAAATATCTGCAGTGCTTTTCTTTCTTTTCACCTGTATATAGTCTTTTTCTTTCTCTTTCTTTCAAATATATGAAACCTCTTCTCTTTCTTCCAAATATCTGCAGTGCTTTCTTTTCTTACCTATATATAATCTTTTCTTTCTCTTTCTTTCAAATATATGAAACCTCTTCTCTTTCTTCCAAATATCTGCAGTGCTTTCTTTCTTTTTCACCTATATATAGTCTTTTCTTTCAAATATATGAAACCTCTTCTCTTTCTTCCAAATATCTGCAGTGCTTTCTTTCTTTTTCACCTATATATAGTCTTTTCTTTCTTTCTTTCAAATATATGAAACCTCTTCTCTTTCTTCCAAATATCTGCAATGCTTTCTTTTTTTTCACCTATATATAGTCTTTTCTTTCTCTTTCAAATATTTTTCAAATATATGAAACCTCTTCTCTTTCTTCCAAATATCTGCAGTGCTTTCTTTCTTTTTTCACCTATATATAGTCTTTTCTTTCTCTTTCTTTCAAAATATGAAACCTCTTTCTCTTTCTTCCAAATATCTGCAATGCTTTTTTTCTTTTTCACCTATATATAGTCTTTTCTTTTCTTTCTTTCAAATATATGAAACCTCTTCTCTTTCTTCCAAATATCTGCAGTGCTTTCTTTCTTTTTTCACCTATATATAGTCTTTTCTTTCTTTCTCTTTCTTTCAAATATATGAAACCTCTTCTCTTTCTTCCAAATATCTGCAATGCTTTTTTCTTTCTTTTTTTTCACCTATATATAGTCTTTTCTTTTCTTTTTTTCAAAATATGAAACCTCTTCTCTTTCTTCCAAATATCTGCAGTGCTTTCTTTCTTTTTCACCTATATATAGTCTTTTCTTTCTCTTTCTTTCAAATATATGAAACCTCTTCTCTTTCTTCCAAATATCTGCAGTGCTTTCTTTCTTTTTCACCTATATATAGTCTTTTCTTTTTCTTTCTTTCAAATATATGAAACCTCTTCTCTTTCTTCCAAATATCTGCAGTGCTTTCTTTCTTTTTCACCTATATATAGTCTTTTCTTTCTCTTTCTTTCAAATATATGAAACCTCTTCTCTTTCTTCCAAATATCTGCAATGCTTTCTTTCTTTTTCACCTATATATAGTCTTTTCTTTCAAATATATGAAACCTCTTCTCTTTCTTCCAAATATCTGCAGTGCTTTCTTTCTTTTTCACCTATATATAGTCTTTTCTTTCTCTTTCTTTCAAATATATGAAACCTCTTCTCTTTCTTCCAAATATCTGCAATGCTTTCTTTCTTTTTTCACCTATATATAGTCTTTTTCTTTCTCTTTCTTTCAAATATATGAAACCTCTTCTCTTTCTTCCAAATATCTGCAGTGCTTTTCTTTCTTTTCACCTATATATAGTCTTTTCTTTCTCTTTCTTTCAAATATATGAAACCTCTTCTCTTTCTTCCAAATATCTGCAGTGCTTTCTTTCTTTTTCACCTATATATAGTCTTTTCTTTCTCTTTCTTTCAAATATATGAAACCTCTTCTCTTTCTTCCAAATATCTGCAGTGCTTTTTCTTTCTTTTTTCACCTGTATATAGTCTTTTTTTCTTTCTTTCTTTCAAATATATGAAACCTCTTCTCTTTCTTCCAAATATCTGCAATGCTTTTCTTTTTTTTTTCACCTATATATAGTCTTTTCTTTCTCTTTCTTTCAAATATATGAAACCTCTTCTCTTTCTTCCAAATATCTGCAATGCTTTTCTTTTTTTCACCTATATATAGTCTTTTCTTTTCTCTTTCTTTCAAATATATATAGCTCTTTCTTTTTCATCTCAGCTCTTTTCTTTTTTCTTCTTTTTTTTTCTTTCAAATATATGAAACCTCTTCTCTTTCTTCCAAATATCTGCAGTGCTTTCTTTCTTTTTCACCTGTATATAGTCTTTTCTTTCTCTTTCTTTCAAATATATGAAACCTCTTCTCTTTCTTCCAAATATCTGCAATGCTTTCTTTCTTTTTCACCTATATATAGTCTTTTCTTTCTCTTTCTTTCTTTCAAATATCTGTAGCTCTTTCTTTTTCATCTCAGTCTTTTCTTTTTTTTCTTTCAAATATATGAAACCTCTTCTCTTTCTTCCAAATACCTGCTGCTCTTACATTCTTTTTCACCTTTATGTACTCTTTTCCATCTGTTTCTTCCTTTTAAATATGTGAAGCTTTTTCTTTTTTCCAGCTTTCTTTCTTTCTTTTTCTTTCAGCTGCCAAAAGACTTTCCTCTTTCTTTCTGGTTATGTTTATATTTTTACTTACACATATGCCGGCAAAAGTATAAAGCTACTCAGAATAAAGAATCTACAATTACAACCATGACCACTTGTGCCTTTCATCTTGATACCCCATCTTATAGGCAACAGAAAGTAAAATATAAAAAAAACGAAATGATGAAATGAAAGAACATTCAGCTTGCTCAGAAAAATTGTTCTTCTCTTAGTCAGAAAAGTGGAGAATTCCAAGACTAGCATAATAAAGATAAACAAGGAAACTGCTTAGAACAGTCAATTTTCAACTAATATATTCTTGATATTCCTTGAGCTTATCTTAGCTAGAAACAGAGCTAAATGAATGCTAGGAAGATTATGTTATGCCTACCTTCCAAGTAGGTGGAGGGTGTTGAATTCTTGGAAAATCAGCATCCAAAATATGATGATTTAACCAACAGAGTTGAAGAAATTAAATTTGCCTGGAAGAATCATTGCATAATAAACAAGTAGGCTTATATTTTTTTGTCTCCTACACTGATGTAAAGGGTTCTATATTCCAACCTCTCAGAAGGTCAGACAATCCCTGGTTCTGCCTCTTTCTTCTTCTTCTATGGAATGTTTTCCTTCAGGACGATCATGGCTCTCCACAATTTCCTGTCACTTGTAGTTCTTAGTAAATTTTGTCTTTCCACTATCTCTTGTAATCTTCTAAGCATTTACACAAATTCATAACACAGGTTATGCACTGCTTTCCTCTGCCCTTCTTGCCTTCAATATGTCCTGGGTGTATCAAATTCTTCAAGCCTCCTTTCCTCATTATGTATCCTAAAAATTTCAACTTTCTCTTCCTGATGTTATACATAAGTGTCTTTCTTGTTTCCATTTTCTCTAAAATTTCCTAATTGTTTATATGTTTAGTTAACAGTATTCTCAGCATCCTTCTGTAGAACCACATTTCTCTTGCCTCATGTCTCTCCTTCATCTGTGATGAGACTGTCCAGCACTCACTGCTATATAGAATGACTAATATTACATAACAGTTCAGTACTCTTTTTTTTGTTTGTTTTTAATGAGATTTTCCTGTTTCTTTATACTTTGCTTAGCTTTTGAAAGGCACTATCACAATCCCACTGTACCTTCGGATTTCAGGGTCACACTTTCCATCCTGTAATAAAACACTTCCAAGATATTTAAATTTTTGTGCTTGCTTAACTTTGGCACCTCCAAATGGTAATTCGCATATTGGGCTCTTTTTTTTGCTGACAACCAAATATTCTATCTTCTTACAATTGATGTTTAGTGCTTTTTTCATCATTGCTTTCCTTTACCATCTTCTATAGGAGTTTCCTTTCTGTTTCTGCTTTTAACACGGTGTCATATGCATACCATATAAGATATGTTAAGATTGTGGCTGTCAATAATGAATTATTAACTTGCCTTTAATTACTAAACAAGATATGAATTCCCATATGACAGAGAAACTGATTTCTCATTATTAACCTATTCTAGTCTAAGATCAATTATTATCTATCTTCCTTATTTTTTTAAGTTTTTAATTAATTTTTTATCCAGTACAATACTCAAGAGCCACTCAAGGTAGAGGTTTATTGAATGTTGTTGTTATAATAAAGGGGGTAAGAACAGGAGGTAAGAAGTGCAGTTCATGATGAAATGTAGGAAAGATAATGGTTAACCTTAGACTTGAAGAGGTTAGGATTGTAGTGATCAAAGAAGCATCCTCTTAAAAGACAGTTCCTCAAAGAAACAGTGTTATCTGGTATCTACCTGGTCCTTCATGGCACATAAGGCTTCTGATGAAGTTTCTCTAATCAAATTGTTTCATGGACTGGGGTGAATGGTTCAACACCCAAATTCCGTACTCTGGGGTAGGTTTGGTTTTCTATAAAGGTTATCTTTTCCTTAGCCAACAATGTATTCCCATGGTAATAAGTTCCATCTACTTGAAATTAGAAATTTAGATTTTTCCTTCTCTTAGACTGGTTGCCAACCAAGGCTGAAGAATCCAGTCTAAGAGAAGGAAAACTTTGAATTCCTATAACCCAAGTAGATGGAACTTGTAAAATTTTAAAATAAAATGTCAGTCCTCCAATGTGTCAGTGAATCCAGAAAAGTATCCTTATAGATGAAGGAATGAGGCAACAGAAATGCGATTCTACAGAAGGATGCTGAGAATACCATGGACGAAACATGTGAGCAACGACAACATTTTAGAGAAAATAGAAGCAAAAAGCACACTTATACTTCACATCAGAAAGAGAGAGTTGCAAGTTCTAGGGTACAGAATAAGGAAAGAGAGCTGGGAAAATTTGACACTCATAGGACATATTGAAAGCAAGAGAGACAGAGGAAAATATTGTATAACCTACCTAATGGTTTGCAGAACAAAGATTACAAGAGATAGCAAAAAGTCAAAATTTACTAAGAGCTACAAGTGACAGGAAATAGTGAACAGACATGATCACTCATGTCCTGAAGGGACACATCATATAGAAGAAGAAGGATGTGATTTGATATAGGAAAACAATAATTCAAATTACAAAGTAATAATGTCACTTAGGTGTTAATGACTGATTTGTTTGTGATGGCTTATCAACCATTTGTGGGTTATTTAAATCCAAAATATATTCCAGATCGTAGTAGGTTTCTTAGAGTAGATGGTGTTCGCAAGCTGTCCACCATCTAATTACTGACCAAACTTGACACTACTTAACTTTGGTGATCAAATGAGAACCAATGTTTTTCAGTGTGATTTGACTGCAACCAGATGTTAAGGAAAATACAAAATTTAATTAAAATTCATAATCAACATTTTATGCAGATTTTAACAAATTATTCTAGTTTTTTGTTACAAGGAAAACAATTAAAATGTCCAAGAAAGATATTAGAATAATCCAGAACTATCTGCATATGGATAGAAAAATAATTGAATAGCTACACAAAAATAGAAAGGAGCATGAGAAAAATTATTGATTTGAGCCATTTTAGCCATCTTTCAGTACAATGTGAACTCCTTTATTAAAAAATCTTTCAAAAATAAAATATACTTCTCTGAAACTTCATTTGAAGAATATTAGCTGATTTAAAGTTTAATTAATCTGATCTTTACTTACTTTTAGTTTAGAATATTGCAGAAATGCATTTTTAACATGTAGGTAGGTGTTTATTTGAGGTATTGACAGCTTGAATGACAACTGTAAATTTAACTATTTTTTTTTCTAAGGGGGACATATCTGTAAAAATTACTTGAGGAATATAATGTGAGCCCCTTTTTTATATAATTTTTAACTACATAGTAATCTTAAATATTTAGGAAAATATTCTCCATCATCTAATGCTTTATTGAATTATAGATTTATTTATTTCCCACAGTATATTCCTAACATTAAAACACTGTCATATGAAAATTACTGTAGTAGTTCTAATAATACAGATGAAGCACAGATGAATAAAGATGACAAGTTGGAAGCAAGAATTAATCAGTATATATCAGCCAATATTGATGCATTAACATATCTGATTTAGCAATAGATGAACATTTATTAAACACCTATCAATATGCTGATTCTATAACTAAAATAAGTTCTCAGTATTGAGGAAGGCTCATTCTGATTTTTGCTTTAAGGTGATAGAGTAAATTTATATATTTTATACGAAGTCCTTCCAGCCATCCCTCAGTAAACAGATGGAATAGTTGGTAGGCTTAAGTATAATAAGCACTTGATATTTATTATATAACATGTAGTCTTTGGTGTTTTTCATTTCAATGATTGTTCAGTTTTCCCATCTTTGATAAAAGAAATTTTATGAAAATTTATACAAATTTTCAAATTTTTTGGTATAAGTAAAACAATTAAAATTTCCAAGTATTTAAAAATTATATATATATATATATATATATATATATTCTAATAAGATTTCTTGAATATTGAGGCCAGTACACAAAAATAAATATACTGTTTAATAAATAAACAGAGTATCTTCTCAAATATGAGTATTCACTAAAAATAATGTTTAAGTAATAAAAATTTGTCAGATTAATAAATAAAAAATCCATCCCTTTCATTACAAATTGCTTTGTTTATATTAGGGTACGAAACAGAACAGATATGTCTATTTCAAGAGTCAGAGAAAAATCTGTATTTAAAGTCACTATTCAGCTTTGCTTAATCATTGACACACTCTATAGCTGAGAGGTCAAATTATATCAGATCTAATGCTGGAGAGCACATATTTTTCTATAATAGAATTTCTCAAATATTCAGGCCAGGAGACAAAAATAAATAAATATACTGTTTAATATACTATTTAATAAATAAATGGAGCATTTATTCAAATATGAGTATCCACTAACTAAAAATAATGTTTAAGTAATAAAATTCTGTCGGATTAATAAATAAAAGAATCCATCCCTTTTGTTACATACACACATTATATATAATTTATTAATAATAGATATACATTATTTTTCCTTCATTATAATATATCATGCTGCAATATTTTATATTTACATATACATACATACACACACAATATATATATATATATATATATATATATATATATATATATATGTGTGTGTGTGTGTGTGGCTATCTATCTCTCTCTCTATATATATATATATATATATATATATATATATATATATATGTGTGTGTGTGTGTATGTGTGGCTATCTCTCTCTCTCTCTCTATGTGTGTGTGTGTGTGTGTGTGTGTGTGTGTGTGTGTGTTGTGAGTCACCCATCAATTACAATTACAGTATGAGAGCCTAACAATTCAGTTCTGATAACAAAACTACCAGACTACCTATGCATATGGTTTAATTATAATGGTGAAGGCTTTTGCAGAACCAGTCACACTTTTTAGAAGAATTAATAAGAAAGAATTGGTGCACAGTGTGCCAAAAAAGATTGCAAACATCCCTCTTCAGGTTCTGAATTCAGAGTTGTCTCTCTCCTAGACTGATAGACATAGTGGGGAGAGTGAAGAAATACAACAAATGCCACTTGGAATTTATATATAAAACACCATCAATAGGACTAATATTAATCTAAAGAAGTCGTTTAAAGAGATGAAATGTGTAATCTAG